TCATGAAAAAATACGTAATATACAAGGAGTAATTTTAAATATTAACCTATTTAAAAGAACTTAAATAATGTTCTTATGACAATAGGGTTATCTTGTAAGTAATAGAAAAATTCGATTCAAATAGTTATAAGGAAAATAGTTACAAATTTGACAATTTATTTTTGAAGTGCCCTGGCGAAATTTCCCGATTCAAAAAACAATTAATTATATTCCTTATTTCTTTTTGAGATTCAAAAATCCTAAAAATGTAGATATATTTATAAAAATTCTCAGAATCTGACTTACAAGCTCTTCATCTTAAAATATTCCTGATACATCTGATTAGAAAAATTAAAGACCTTATACGAGTACGTAATAATCAGCCATCGAAAAGATTAAATTACCTTTTTTATATGGGCTATAATTTATATTTGAAGTATTTTGTTTGAGTTCCGCCAATGCCGCATTATAATATATATGCCATTTCGAACAGGGACTGACTCAGTATGTTAACATTGATTAAGTTATTTCGTTATTGAATTTTAAACACAAAACAAAAAGATGACCATAATGGGGAGTTTATCTATATCATATAGACCCTTCTAGTTTAAATTTCCTTATTGGAAAATAAAAAAAATACAATTTTTAAGCATCTTCTTATGAAAAAAATATCATAGTAACGAATTTATAAAATTGATATCATGAGTTGGCTAAAAGTAACTTCAGAAGTATGTTATGTTATCATGGGAATGGGGTGTTAATACACTGCGACCTAAAAGATTTATTGTGCCCACTTCTATCGCTAATGCACCAAGGAAATGTCTTAATGCCTATAACGACCCCTCCAATCCTATCTTCTCAAGGAAGTGTAAGATTTGGAGTGGCTTCAAGTTAGGTAAATCTCCCTCTTCTATTTGATATTCTCCTAGGTATAGTGCCCTTGGATTCTGAAGTGCTACATATTCAGTTAGAAAGTGAATGGAGGTTTCGTCCTCCTCCTCACAGAATCTGCACTCACTATCCTCTGCTACTCTCAGTTTACTAAGGCTTCCTTTTAGTCGGCAATACGTAGGCTATTTTTCTCGCCTAGCTCATTCAATTGTTCTAGGCATCTCCAGACCATTTTTGAGCTGATTATGTAAGAGCTCAGCGCTTTGATGGCTACTTGGCTATCGGACATGATGATAATCTCTTGTCTATGATAGTTTCTCTCGATGTTAAACTGGATACACTTTTCGATGGAGTGAATTTCCGCCTGGAAGATGCTTGGGTATTTTCCCAAGATTTCGGAGTGCTTGTTTCTCGGTCCATACACTCCCATTCCAGTTCCTTCTATGGTTTTGGAACCATCCGTATACCACTAAATAGCATGTCTTTTGGTTGCAAACGTGATGGATTCTTGGCTCCATTCTTTTTTGCAGCCCAGCTCTGTGGTTTTGGCATTTCATCCTGGGGCATGTCGCAGGTATCTTTAGTCCTGAAGCAAGTAGACTTTCGTCTGATTACTTCGTTCCTGATCATTCTATATCGTTCCTTTTTGCCACATTCTCTATCATCAAATATAGAGGGGTGAGGTTTAGGATCACCTCCATTGCGACTGTAGGGCATGTTCTCATTGCACTGGTGATGTAAACACAGGCTAGTCTTTGTACTTTTGAGATATTAGCTCTCGTGGTAGCTAAACTAGTTCTGTTACTCCAGGCTATAGCCCCGTAAGTGATGATTGGTCTCACTATTGCAAATATGACTATGTCGTCGGCATAACCTTGACAGGGTAAGTCGGGGTGAGTCAATCAAACTTCAGAAGTAACCTCAAAAACAATCACTGACCTATTTGATATAACTGGCAGTTAAGTTGTCAAAAAGTCAGTGTGAATGGCAATTTTTAATAGATTTCTTGTTTTGCCAAATCACGTTGGATACGGGTATTGTTGAAGACTTTAGATTAAACAATAACTATAAAGATGTTGTTCCCAAAATGATATTGATATTGATATTTATATCCAATAAATACATTTTTCTACGATCACTATCCAAAGTGGGCTTTTGCGCTTCGAAATACAACCGCTTAGTTGACGTTTTCCGCGAACTGACATTGGGTCCTACAGGTCCTATGATTGAACGTTTATGTTATCCGTAACATACATGCTAGGTCGAATTTTAACAGTAACGAGGCAAGTTCGTATGATGGAAAACTTTTCAATTAGAACATAACAGGCACAAAACAACAGTAACGTATTCCATCATACAAACTTGCCTCGTTACTGTTAAAACTTGGCCTAACATGTACGTTACGGATAACGTAAACGTTCAATCATAGGACCACTGATCTGTATTATTTTACTGGATAGGATATAGGCTATATTTAACATACTAAAAATCCGTTTCACCAAGGAGACCGGAAGTCACATACTTTGATTACTATACGGGGCAAGAGAGAGTTCCGATACGCCCAACATAGGGCGCGGCCATTTTGAACCCTATGACACAGTTTATAGCTAAAGAATCAGATTGCTCACTCTGCGTCGGCACTTTTGATCTCAATCTTCAAGTTTATACACTGCGCAACTCGGATAATACAATATATGACAACCGCCTATAATAAAACAGCAGTCTTCTGCGTATCCTGAATTTGTATCCCTGGAGTGGATGTTATTTTGGAACTTTCAACTGGTCCGAGTGAGCTAACCGATTCTTTAGCAATAAACTGTGACTCCAAAAATAATATTCACTGACACTGACAGCAGCAAGCAAAATATCAGGTGCGTTTTAATCATCCGCTTCTGCTTCCGGAATTGTCAGTTTAGTCGGTTTAACCTGCCAGATTAAAACAAGAAAACCGACAATTCCGAAGCAGAAGCGGATGATTAATGGTGCGTTTGATTTGATCATCGGAGATCTCCGAGCGCTGCAAACGCGTTTGAAATGACACTCCGAGAGATCCCTAAAGTGTTTGTTTTGCTTTGGAGCGAGAACATAGAGCGAGCTCGATGTTCTCAGAGCAGATGGATCGAGAAGAGGGAGAAATTTGTCTTTGTCTCTACCTATCTCTTTTTAACTAACTTACAAACAAATTTGAATCTCAAAATTAAAGACCAGACAAGAAGTCAACAAATTACTTAGTCGCTTTTGTCTTATAGCTAAAATTATTCGTCATAAAAAACACAAAATGTGTGTTTGGAAAATACATTTTCTCTGTCCAGATCTAATCACCAGTAATCACAGGCATGGAGTATGACTACTTTGACCGGAAATTTTTAAGAAATAATACGTTAGCAAGCGGAATTTAACTTGAGCTAAACACTCTTAAAATTAACCTAAGGGAAATTAACTTAAACTAAACATTTTTATAATTGAAGGAAAATTAAGTGACCGTCACAGTTTTAAGTAAAGAATATGTTAGCCAAGGTGCTATTTTATTGTTTTTACGTTCTATTTGTCGCTTATTTCTGCAGATAATTAAACCATTTTGTATTATTTTATTGAATACTCACCATTTTATATCTTTAAAATTATTATGTATTTTATTTTAATGAATAAAAATTGAATACCCTTTGTTTACTTTTTGTTTTATCTTATTTTCCTTAAACATAACCAAAACTATGATTGAGTAATGATTGATTATATGATTTTTTTACAACGATCGGCATAATATTACTACCCAATTTTGACATTAAAATATAAAGTATGCAAGATTTTGAGTTAACCCTTTCCCAAGTTGGATTATTAATATTGGATATACATCCAAACTCGCTCAATACATTTAGATATTCCATTTATCCCAACGACAAACAATTACTAGACTAATTTTGTTTACAAAAATCGAATTGCAAACATTCAGGGTATCATCCACGTAGTTGTCAAATTATGTCAGAGTATGGGAGAGTATTGTTACAAGGATTGTTTATGGTTATATAATTAGGTATAAGGGCCTAATACGCTTGCAAAATTACATAAGGGAAGTATATTTGTTATATTAATGTTAGTTATTATCAATTTAATGTATTTTTTCTCGTTGCAACTGTTATAGTTGTCTAGAGTTTTTGAGGAAGTGCGCAATTAATTTTGTAGTGTGACAGCAGTGTAAAGTAAGCGTAGTAGACGTAAATACTGATTTATTCATTAAACGCATGCTCGCTCCTCAGGTAAACATACTCGCACAAACCACCCCACTCAAATTAACAGCTATCTCATCCACTCTAATGCAGTACCCATGCGACAGCTCTGTCTTCGTAATAATTAACACAATCAGAATGTTTGCAATAAAATTGGCTTAATTATGAATCAATTATTCTAGTTTTCATGGTTGAGATCCCCAAAGGAATGGATTATACAAATAATGTTTGTAAAATTCCTTATAATTCTACCGATTTTAATTGTAAAATTATTATTATCTTTAAATTTACCCTTCTGTAAAGATCAAAGATTTTAATTTAATCGTTTATTTCAGTTATAATTTATTATTTTTTCATCATTAATATTTATAGGTCTAAATATAAACATCTCTATAAATTTGAAATATGGATAGCTTCATTTCCATCCCCTTTGTGTTCTCATAAAACGAATCGTTAAAAGGTCGTTTGATATTTTTAATAACGAGTTATAGCTACTATAAAACAAAACTTTGTTATTGAATGGCTTTTAGAAAAGTTTCTCAATTTCAGAAGTAATTATGTGTTTATTACTAAAGATAGTTTCCTAGATTTTATGGTTTCATAGGCAGATTGTTTTCAAATTATTTTAAGAAAGCGAACTTATTTATATCCTTCTTTAATGGTTGATTACTAAATTGATTAACACGTAAACTGCTTCATATTATTTGATAATGATAAAATTCACTCGCGATACGTATTCAATTAATTGTTATCGCTTAAAAATAAAAAAAAAATAAACAATGAACAGACTTTAGCGCAAAAATCAGGATTTAAATCAAGAGAATTAAATTTTTTTTATTTTTTAATATATAGATCAATTTTTATTGAAAATATTTGGAATTATCGCAAAAAAATGTACACTCTTACCGTGCATTGACCACCACCATGCTTTTGTTTCCACCATCTATCTTTTAATGTGTGAAGTATACCCATTTCTTGCATTTTTAAAATAGCTTCATTAATTTGTTTTCTGTACGGAGCATCTTAAAAAAAGCAAAAAAAAAATTAAATCGTTAATTAATTACTCAAAAACTATTTTTAAAACATAACTTATAAAATAGTTAAAATAGTAAATACAGTCAAATAAATAATACGTATGCGAATAATTTTATAAACTTGTCAGTATTTTCATTAATTTCTCTCATTAATCATTTTTCTATCAACGCACATTACAATCGTCATAGAGAAATGATAAAAAACCCATAGATATAATAGACATAAGAAAATCATCAATTCATAATTTATGTCATTTTAACGTCATCGAAAGGGGCTTGTCAGTATCAGGTAAAAGTTAATGGCAATAAATCTTCACAAATAATAAAGATTTTTAAAAAGTGGCATTAACGTCTTGTCAATCTGCGCCACTGTGAGATAGAGATGGACATTAACGTTAAATGTAACTGATATTATTTATATCAAAATAATGAATACAAGTATGTGTACTTATGTATCAATTTATGGTTTATTGTTCTAAATCAGCACCTCAGAGGTAAGGTGTGTTAAGTCACCAAATCTACATTTGTCAGGACAGGCATTTTAAAGTTCACTTATTGTTTTAACAAAAAATGTAAAGGAACGGTGAATTTACTAAATATTAGGGTCTTTGCAAAAGTCAATTGTTTGGTCAATTTATTTCGATTTTTTATCAGATTTTTTACTATGTCCAAAAATTTATTACTTTGACGAGACATATTTTTAACCCTAAATTTGCAATACTTGGTTTGCGACTTGTCAAATATTCCTTCATCTTTTGGCGACTTGATGCAACTAATGAATTAAATCTGTTTTCTACGACCCACTAATAAAAATCTACAAATATTATTAGAAAATAATTTAGAAGTAATTAAGAGAAAGTAACTATTTTAAAAATATCTATTACCACTAAGATTTTATTTATACGATTTTATAAATTTATAAAATAAATTAAATTTGCCTTCGTCATCAGTGGCGGCTTCAATTTATATAAATAAAAATTGAAAAGGTACATGACCCATACTATTTTTAATAAACAAAATATGACTATCCACCCCAAGTAACATTTTTATAAGAAACAAGTTTTATTTATATTATAATGTGAGCCATTTCATTATTCAGTCATGCTCTAATCCTCCAAGTCCCTCTCTGTCTTATTTAGCCTTTGAGGCTCAACTTGTTTGATTATCATACCTAATTAAAACCCTTAAGACCAAACATATGTGACGTCTATGGCGAAGGCGCTTTCGAGAACTTTCCAGGTAGAACGTGATAATGTTTCTAGTTTTGGCGGAGATCACTCTGGAATCCAGCAGAATTTTAAATGTGTATATAAATATTGGTGGAGGAAGAACTCGGCAGTCAGTTGTATACAAATAGCTGTGAAGATAAATAGTGAACAGTTTAAAGACATTCGATATATAAAAATTACAATAGTATTGTTTAAAATAAATAAGTATTCAAATAAATTATTAACAAATAAACTGTAGTTTAAAATAAACAAACGTCACATTGATGTCGAGAATTGAAATAATGTAAATAAATAGTGATTAAAATGGCTAAGACTGTGTGATTTAAAAGTGACCGACATACATCGTATCTATTTTCTGATGATTCATCTTCTGCTATAATTTCTTCCGATATGGAAAGTAAATCTTCCTAAAAAACCGATATTTCCTCCGACATTTCTTCTTTAGATAATAAAGTTTCTTCTTTAAAATCTAAACTTTCTTTTGATATTTCTTACTTAGAAGAAAAGGTGTCTTCTGATGTTGCTTCTGTGAAAAACGAAAGTTCTTCTATGGAAGATAAGATTTCTTATGTTGAGGAGAAAATAATGAGTTCCGTTGAGGAGCAAATAAAAGAAATGGAAAAAAATGGAAGAAATGGAACACGTAGACCAAAACAAAAACGGTGAAATAAAGTGCCATGAGGTGGAGACAAAGTTGAAATTGGAAGGAGCTGTAAACAAAATAACATCTAAAACTATTTAGAAGGATATTGCACATGTATTAACTGTACTACTATATTTATTTGGTCGAGGATTACCTACTTGCTACATGTCATTACAAATAATTGTAATTTAAGTACATTTTTGTGTATAAATGATTACTTTTTGTAAATATACAAACTCTTTCTGTAACAAATATTATACACATGTCTGGTATTAACATGAATAAATCTACGACAATATTGCTAAATTGAAATAATAAAAACACAAATATGTTTATATTTTATGAAATAATTTGGAACATAGAAAAGTAATAAAAAACGAAAAAAATACGAATCCAAAAAAATGTACTCTTGAAAATACTAAAAAATCATCAATTTATTAAATATTGTTATGCAGCACCCTGCGGCTATCATAGGAAACGTACAGATAGAAAAAGAAGTGGAATGTTACTCATCACTCTACAGTATGCTGCGGTCGTCATAAGTAAAAGTACAAGTAAAAGATGATAAAATATTCCAGAAATGTCTGGAAATGTCATTTCCCGTCAAGAATATTCTAGACGACAGTTCAAGAAGGTTCGAGAAGGGTCAAGCAAGCTATATAAGGATGATCCTGATGTCAGTTTTATGTTAATGTTATCTTCTCGCGTAAAAGTGAGGGAAATTAAATCCCAGAAATATACTAATGATATTCCCCAAATCTTAAATATCCTACGAAATAGGCAACGAAACAGCCAAAATGGAAGCAGAGATGCTTCAATTGCGGAAGAATCGGACACCTTCAAAGAACATGTAGGAGCATGGCTTTTTCTATATGTCGAGAATCAGCGAATGAGATTGGAAAATCATATAGATCAATCTTTCCAAGCTCATCACTAAGACCAACAAGAATAATTTACAGCACCTATGCTTCTCGAAGAAGCCAATCACCCACACTAAGCCGGCTTTCTGGAATAACCAGAAAGTAGAGCATCGAGGAGGTCTCCATAGCAACGCAGACATTCTCTTCGGGCAACCCCGTTTAGAGGAACAATGCTGGATGGTAAAAAGCTCGAAGAACGAGAAGAACCGGTTGATAAAGTTACTCTTCAAGCCACCACTATCAAGCGAGAGGGCGACGAAGAAGAAATCACCCTTGAAAGTCTGAGATAGGGACAGAAGAAAAACAATGACAAAGGTTGTCCGAGACTGGCTCAAAAATAAAGTCACACCTACTTGGCAAGAGATAGCCCAATACAGTAGAACTATAAAAGACTACTGGACCCAGTGAGATTACCTGTATCTTCACGATGGCCTATTGCACCGGAAGCGGGACAGCCCCGATGGAGTACATGTAGTCCGCCAAGTGATACTGCCGAGGCCACAGGTGAGAAAAAGTATTGGAGGAGCTTCATAGCAGCCGTTCAGGAGGACACTTTGATACTAAAAGGACACTGGCACGAGTTCGGGAAAGATTTTATTGGGTCAACTGCCGACAGGATGTAGCGGATTTGTGTAAAAAATGTGATGTATGCAATGGCAAGACAAAGGTCTATGGATTTGCTCGGGAACGCCTAAAAGTTCACACCGATAAAGCAGAAGCTAGAATCGACAGGCGTGCCACAGATACACATTTGGAGAAGGGCGACAAGGTATGGCTGTGCAATCCCAAGCAGCGAGAAGGACTTTGTCAGAAACTGTAACGAACTGGGAAGGCCCCTACACCGTCCTTAAGAAAATTAATGACCTGATCTACCGCATTCAGTTGTCAACGGGAAGTAAACCCAAGATAGTTCACGTTGAAAAGTTAGCGTTATATCGTGGTCTAGATTCTAGATCCTCCCCGTTGGTTTCAAACAGGTCCCAGTAATCAAGTTATTCGGAGCGAATAGCTAGAGAGGTGGGAGCAATGTTACGCAGCACCCTGCAGTAGCCTGCGGCTATCATAGGAAACGTACAGGTAGAAAAAGAAGTGGAATGTTACTCATCGCTCTACAGTATGCTACGGTCATCCTAAGTAAAAGTACAAGTAAAAGAAGATAGAATATTCCAGAAATGTCTGGAAATGTCATTACCCGTCAAGAATATTCTAGACGACAGTTCGAGAAGGGTCCAGCAGGCTATATAAGGATGATCCTGACGTCAGTTTTCAGTTTTATGATAGACGTTACATGTTAATGTTATCAGTTGTATAATTGTTGTTAAAGTTAAGTTGAAATAAATTGCGATACCAAAAACCAGTGTAACAATATTTTATTATTTTTAGATCTGCCAAGCAAGTATATGGAGATAATGCGATTTTCCATAAATAACTTGAGAAAAGGAGATATTTGCTCAGTAAACGGAATAACAACACATGAACATAAAGTATTTTGCATTGTTTCTCCTACATTTAAAGTAAATAATGAGGTCGATAACAGGTTGAATTTGATAATGAATCTTTAGACAAAATTTTAATTTGTGTATCTCCATTATTGTTAGAGCTTGTGTATATATTTTTTATTATTTGTAAAGAAAGTGTTTTTTACTTCGTTTATCTTATTCAGGTACTTTTATTTTTTAATAGGTTAATAAATAAAATTTTCACAGATTTTACATTTTTGTTTATATACAATTATTATAATCTCTGAATTGTGATAAATTAATAAAAAATAAATAAATAATTTTAAAACTATTTAGTCTGAAGATACTCCTAATGGTTTTGAACCACTATCATTTTCTACAGCCTTTGATAAAGTGAACCACTCCTTTATTTTTACCACACATGTTTTTGCCTCCATCAGTTATAATAGATTTCAAGTTTTTCCTTTGAAGATTCTTTTTATTAATGGCATTTTCAAATCTCTTAAAAATATCTTCGTGCCATGAATACTATCAATATCAAGAAGTTCTTCATACACTTCATCTTTATAGCTTTTATCTACTCTTCGAATAAAAATCACCTGAGCAGTATCTGACAAATCCGTTGATTCATCCAAGGCCAGAGAAAACCACTCAAGATGTCCATGTTTATCAGACAGTTGAGATGATATATTTTCTGCAATGTCTTGTATCCTCCGAGCAACGGTGTTTGCTGACA